AAGGCTTGATCAAGATTACTTTTACGTGGAAGGCAAACATTAGCTTACTTGGCCTCTGCTTCCTAGGCGGTGCATAAGTGGGTCCTAGGCGAATTGAAGGTGTAAAAATAGTCCTCCTTAATATTTATATTAGGTAGAGGACTTAGGTACATGGTACCCATTCAAGAGGTGGTACTCGAACGAATTAGTGTTGAGTTGATTGTACTACTACGAAGTGTGGCCATCTATGACGGAAGACATTTTAATGATGAAGATTTTGGATAAAACTATTTGTACATAATTTTTCTTATCGAAAATGTTACACCCTCTCATATGTGACCGGGGCCCGCGTGAATAAAAAACTCTCGAAAATGTGGTCCCCACACCCTATTGTGAGTGTAGGTAAAAGATTAGGTAAAAAAATAATTATGTACATATAGCATTGCCCGAAGATAAAGCCTCTTTGGTGATGAAGGCTTTTGATGATGAAGTCTCTTTGTTGACGAAGTATAACAATAGTCCCAAGAATAACAATTACATTAGATGAAGGACGTTCATAATTGTAAACTCCGCGTGTTACCATTTTGAAGTTAAAATATTTTATGATGACATAGAGGTTGGTTCCAAGCTATTAGCGAAGGTAGTAGTAAGATGGTGAGAGCGATGAATCCTAGAGAGGTCCAACCCTCACCGTGTTCCTCCTTGAGCCAAAGGGACTCACATAACTTGAGAGTTAAATGAAGAATTGGATTAGTCGTGCTCATATTAGAACATACTTGAAGAGATTTATTTAGAAAATATTAAAAAGAGGGTTGTCATCTCAATGAATATCGTACTACATGTCATCAACCACGTTGAGTGGGCCTTTTGAAAGCTATGTGGCGAATTGAGAACAGTTCATACGATTTTTCCACATTTATATGGAAGTAGAAATTTTGTTAATGCATTTTAACAACTATCTTATTTTATTATATCCAAGTCACATTTTAAGGTTAAACAGATAATTTCGAAATTAAAGAGAGGAGATTCATAAGTGGATCCAATTAATTTGGAGTTCATATATCAGCGCTTGATTAAACAGACGTAAATTAATGTGGTTTCTTGTTGACTAACAACTCATAAAAGGGCAAAATTGTAATACAACCTCGAGATTCGTTGACTAGGACAAAAATTACGAGAAAACTAATATTTACGAAACGAATTACGCCTTGTATTTCCCAAAACACCCCCTACTCGGGAATAGCTCTCAACTTCGCAGTAAATTTCC